GGTTCGATTCCTCAGCACCACATAAGCAAAAAGAAAAAAGCTGGAAGTGGCGCTGTGGCTCAAGTGGTAGAGTGCTAGCCTTGAGCTGAAGAGCTGAGAGACAGCGCTTAGGCCCAGAGTTCAGGCCCCACGACCGGACCCAAAAACAGAAAATGGTAGTCCTTATAAGCTATGGTCTGCTTCCTGAGACTGAGAGCCACTCTTCTTGTCTTTACTCTGAAGTAGCCAGGCACTGGTGGCTTGAGCCTTTAAAGCCTAGCTAAGCTACCCGGAAGGCTGAGTGAGATCTGCGAATCACAGTTTGAAGCCAGCAAGAGCAGGGAAGTCTGTGAGATTCTTATCTCCAATTATGAACTACCCCAAAAAATGTGTCAGAAGTGGAGCTGTGGCTCAAGTGTTAGATGAGTAAAAAAAGCCAGGCACCGGTGGCTCACGCCTGTAATCCTAGCTACTCAGGAGGCTGAGATCTGAGCATCGGTTCAAAGCCAGCCCAGGCAGGAAAGACCGTGAGACTCTTATCTGCAATAAACCACTCAGAAAACCAGAAGTGTCGCTGTGGCTCAAGTGGTAGAGCACCCCCTTGAGCTGAAGAGCTGAGGGACAGCACGCAAGCCCAGAAGCCCCACGACTGACAAAAAAAAAAAAAAAACAACTCAGGGACAGTGCCGAGACCCTGAGTTCAAGCCCCAGGACTAGCTCAAAAAAGAAGTTGGGCTCAAAAGTAGGACAAGAACAGGCGAGGTGCAGACCACCTTCACCGCCAACTGTCTGCCACGGGACCCTCGGCCCAGCCAAGCCCTGGATCACAGCGGGCACAGAGGCTCTGAGCCATACCTTGGAGGTGGTGGTTTTTGTTTTTGCCAGTCCTGGGGCTTGAACTCAGGGCCTGTAGCTTCCTTTGGCTCAAGGCTAGCACTTTAACACTTGAGCCAGAGCACCACTTATGGCTTTTTCTGCTCATGTGGTACTGAGGAACCCAGGGCCTCATCCATGCTAGGCAAGCACTTTGCCACTGAGTTACCTTCCCAGCCTCCTGGGGTGTGCGTGTGCGTGCGCGTGCGTGTGTGTGTCCACGTGTACATAAAATGGGGAGTGGACTTGGAGAATTTGGAAAGAAAGGCGTTCAGTTGCTTGATGACAAAGGTGATTCTCCTCTGTTGTTTGACTTGCGTCTGCTTTTCCTCACAGAAAACATCACCTGTGAAGAGAAAGCCAAAAAGCATGGCAGCAAGCCCGTGCTGGACGAGATCGTGCCTGTGTACCGACGGGACTGTCACGAGGAGGTCTACGCTGGCAGCCACCAGTACCCAGGGAGAGGCGTCTACCTCCTCAAGTTTGACAACTCCTACTCCTTGTGGAGGTCCAAATCCGTCTACTACAGAGTCTATTATACTAGATAAAGATGGTGTTACAGAGTGGAGTCTAGGCTTGGGCGAAGATGGCATTTACTTTCTTTTGGCTTTGGTGGAACACTGGAGTTGTGTTTCTCCTATTCTTTTTGGTCTGATGGTATGAACTCTTGTTGAGAGTCAGGATTTTCCTGAGACTCGTAAGCAGTAATGCTCAGGGGCTAGAGGGTCCCTCTGACTCATTAGTCCCTGGGTGCTGACCAGCATATGCACTAGTGGATGCTTAAGTTACAGGAGCCCCGTGTGAGATACTCAGTCACCAGAATACACTTGGCCAGCGCTGGCCTGACTGGCTGGCAGTTACGCCGCTGCCTGCCCGTGTGTCCCCCAGGGCCCGCAGCTGCAGCGCTGTCTAGGTTGACATGCTTGTTGGTAGTCGACACCCTGTGCAGGGGCGGGGATCAAACTCAAGACCTCACACAGTGTAGGAGAGACAGACAGTGCCTGAACCACCCAGGTTATTTTTGCTTTGAGGCAGCTGTCGAGTTACACACATTACAGAGAATTACTTTCAGAGACTGTCTTAAACTTAGAGTACTCAAACCCAGTAGATAAAGGGAGTATGTGGACACATAGAACACTTCAGACCTCTTCCTTGCAAGTCTCCACCAGCTCAGGCCTTTTCATTCATATCACACTAGCAGTCAAAACACGACAACTCAGATGGAAAGTTTTCTGCACCAAGTGTACAGTTAGGGTTTTGTACACACAAAGTGGCACCTACTAAATTAAAAGCTGTAAAATCATTTCCGTGTGATTTGTGTTTGGGGAGTGCCCTTGGTCCCACGGTGGAGATCCCCACCGGCCCAGTAGGGAACATTAGGAATGGAAAAGCCTACGCCTGTGCTCAAATTGTATAGCTTTAATCTGTAGTATGTCTTCACTGATGGGAAGAGGTGCATCTTTTGTGTTTATATTTTTACTGAAAACAAACATGGATTAATTGCTTCAAATCTGTGTAAGTGGTAAGTTTAGAAAAGGAGGGTGATGTGGATGGAAAATGACAGATGGCTGTATGCACTTAGCATTGTTATTTTGTGTTACTTGAAAGACTTAGAGTTTTACGTTTTCAAATTGGAAGTAACTTCTTTAGGAACAAATTCATTGACCGGCTACTTGTACACAGCTCACCACATACCGGCTGTTTGACTTTTGTGTGCTGCATTCATGTTTGTTTTTTTTCTAATAACCTGGGTTTTTGTACGTATCTGTTTTCTTTGTTCAGAAACTGAATTATTTTCTCCCAAGTAGTGCTTAATTTGTGTTTTTGATTTAGTCCGGTCCCGGTGTCCACCCTGTTAGATCTAACTCCTTCCTTGAGCCGCCCACAGCTCTCTGCATACAGTGTAACAGAGTTAGGTACGTCCTGACTTCTCTTTTAAAAGAGAAAAACACTGTATTAAAATGTAAAATAAACTTTTGAAAAGCAGGCACTAATACATATTTCTTGCAGCCTTTGGTCATACTTTTCCTTGCGTGTGGGGGCTTCGCCTGTCACGTGTTCATGTCTGAACACGTTTGATTTTAAATTTCTCATTGCCTTTGGCTGTTGATTAGTACAGTACAAGTGCGATTTCGAAAAGATCTTGAAAGTAATATATTTAACCAATTAAAGTGTTCCTCTGTGGCTTGTTGGTGTGTCATTGATGCCGACCCCTGCCTGCCGCGCTGTCGGGGTCTCCACGTGGAGAGGACGGCAGCAGGTGGAAGGTGAGCTGCTGCTTCTCGGTTGAACACAGGGTGGCTTTTGTAGCTGGCAGAGCGCTGTTACTGATGGTCACGGTGCTGTTGATTTTGTGATGTAGCACATGGTACCCCAGTCCTGTGTGCCTGCCGACCGCAGGTGTAAGTCAGCTGGTCAGTCAGGATAGCTACCACTGTGTGCCCTCCACCATGGCCACCCTCAGTCTCAATACCACCAGTGGAGTCTGAGAGTGCTGCTTTTTCCTGTTAGTACTCAAATTACCAAGACTTCTCTTGGTCAGCCTGATAGCTGAAAAATGAAATTGTACTTTCATGTGGTGTGGTGGGTTTTTTTGGTGTGTGTGTGCCAGTACTGGGCCTGGGCACTGTCCCCGAGCTGCTCTTGCCCAAGGCTAGCACTCTACGACTTGAGCCACAGCACCACTTCGGGCTCTTTCTGAGGAATCAAACCCAGGGCTTCATGCATGCTGGACCAGCACTCTACCACTGAGTCACCTTCCCAACCCAGATTGGGTATATATTTTTGTGTGTGTGCCGGTCCTTGGGCTTGAACTTAGGACCTGGGCACTTTCCCTAAACTTTTGTGCTCCAAGCTAGTGAGTACTCTACCACTTGAACCATGGCTCCACTTAGGACTTTTTTTAAGCCGCTAATTGGAGTTATGAGTCTGATAGACATTCCTGCCCTGGCTGACTTTAATGCACACCTCAGACCTCAGCCTCCTAAGTAGCTAGGATTACAGCAGTGGCAGAGACACTGGTACCAGGCTTTTTTGGTTGATTTTTACTTCATATGCTTTGAAGTGAGTTAGTAGGTGAATTCACACTCATGGTTAAAGAGTTACATGTTACCTGTTCATCCCTAAGGTATACCTTACCTGGTTCTGATGTTCACGTCATTTGGTATTAATGTGGCCACCATCGCTCCTGGGTTTTCCTTGCTTTGAGTCAAGTTTTCCCTGTGCACCCCATATTCGTCTAAAATACAGTGCTGTGCCTCTGCCACCCAAGTCCTGGGGCCGCAGGGCTATGTCGCCAGCCCCACTGAAGTTTACATGAACATCTTTAGATGCTTTTTCTGTTAACCTATTGGTGCCTGTGTGTGCATGTGTTTGTGTGTGTGTCTGTGTGTGTGTGTGCGCGCACACGCGCGTGTTCTAAGGATCAAATCAAAGGCTTTGCCCATCAGGCAAGCACTACTGATGAGCTACGGTTCCTACCCAGTTCTATTTAAATACTCACATGGATCTCACGCTGGGCGTTTTCCTTTCATCTAGCCCTACCATCGCTTTCTCTTCATTACAATAGCTGTAGTATCGGTTCCAGTGTGTGGCCAAGACAAGTTCTGTGGTTGCTCATTTTTCCTCGTTTCCTTGTTTTTTGGATTCCTGTCATCCTTTGCTGCCTTATTTGAGGTGAGTGTTCTGATTCCATCTCCCTCTCCCGTTGACGGATTCTTTGGTTTTCAGGAGTTAGTACTGGCTCAGTGCTGCTGCTAGGATTCACGAACATAGCACAGAATTCTTTCAAATACTGATAATGCTGTATAGAACATTACAAGACTGTATTTTTGTCTCTCACTGGTTTATAGATTTTTCTGGTGTTTAGAGACAAGTTTATGTTCTCTCTCCACCCCCCCCAAAAAAGAGTTTGAAGTTAAAATGCGTTGTGGGTGAGGGGTCTGCGCTGGCGCAAGGATTCCTGTCTGTGTTGGGGTGCAGGGCACTCCCCTAGCAAGCGAATGGCCAAGTGGTGTCCAAATCCGAGTTGCTGGACCCCCGACCCCATGTGCAACCCTGACCGCTGTCCCCGCACTGCTCTGCTCCTGTGCAGGGAGGCGGGGCGAGCCGGTGGGAACCGGCCTGGCTTTGTGAGACAGAGGGCTAGTAGGGACCCAACCCTGCCCGCCCCAAAGAGGAGAAGGTGTGGCCTAATTCCTACTTCCTTGCTGCAGGTAAGTCCCTGACTAGCCTGGCCTCTGTGTGGTGCTGACCCAGAGCCAGGTCCTGAGAGGCCTGTGCCACACAGGCTGCCCTGCCCTGCCCTGCCCTGCCCTGTCCTCTGTGAGGAGGACTCGGCCCTGAGAGGCTGGCTGGAAGCAGCTGCCACAGCCTGACAAGAGCAGGGCTGGTAGGGCACCACGGAGACATGGGTGATAGCTGCAGAACTTCCCCAGATCACAATGGACGTGGAGGTGGATATCGTCAGAGCATGTGAGTGTGTATGTGTACAGTATTCAGAAGACAGAGTTGGGCGAGGCGTTCCCTGCCTGCCACCTGTGCCAGGGCTGCTGCGCTGGCACGTGTGGAGCACTTGGCGAGGCGCAGAAGCCCAGACGCAGGGGCGGGGAAGGGTCTCGGCTCCTGAGGCCCTGGCTTGATTCCCCCGTATCACATACACAGAAAAGGCTGGGTGTGGCTGGTGAGCTCCTGCCGGCGTGGGTGCTACCTTGGCAGTGAGCCATGCGTGCTGTGGAAGAGCGGCAGCGGCCAGCAGCTCAGCCCCCTCCGTGCCCAGGGCAGGCCCGGCTGCTCTGCCATCCTCTCAGGTTACACACGGGTTCCCTGGGAGCCCGGCCCTCTGCACCGCCTCCCAGTGGCCTCCTGGGGCTGGTCAGCATGTGGCTGTGTGCACTTGGGTCTTGTTGGGAACTAGCACCCCTTGTGGGGTAGTGACATGACAGTACTTTGCCAGGGACTGGGGTGGGGGGAAGGTCTCCACCTAGCCAGTGGCTCACATCTGTACTAGCTACTCAGGAGGTGGAGACCTGAGGACCGAAGCTCAAAACCAACCCTGGGCAGGAAGATCTGTGAGACTCTTATCTCGTTAACCAGAAATAGCACTATGGCAGAAGTGGTAGAGCACTCGCCTTGAGCTGAAGAGCTCAAAGACAGCACCCCGGCCCAAAGTTCAAGCCCAGGACTGGCAAAGAAAGTTTTTGTGGAGGCAGATGGTGTACAGCTGGGTGTGGGCGCCGCGCCGTGCCTGCTCCCGCCACAGGTCAGTCAGCTCGTTCAGCTTGGCTGGATACCCAGACAAGCCTGCTGCGCAGCCTTACGCCGAGGACAAGACACGCCAAGACCTGGCTCCTGGGCCACTCAACATGGGGGCTCTCACCACCTGGCGTCCATCTTGAGATGAGTGGTTTCCTTTGCAAACGCCTTCGTGCCCAGGAGCCCTTTTCTCCAGTGTTTCCCACAAGAGAAGCGTCTCTCTTCAAGATACCCTTGTTCAGTTCCCACAGCACATTAGGTATGCAGGCAGGCCCACAGGATGAGCTATCAAGCCGCTCCCTTCCCCCCCTTTTTGCTAAAAGTCACTGTTGGGGTGGGAGCATGGGGCTGTGTGCTTCGGGTCAGACCTCCGGGGTCATTGGGCTCTGGGATCCTGGCTGTGGGTTCCCTCATGGTCTGATCTCAGGTGGAGTTCAGTGCCAGGGAAGCCTGGAGCCCCACATACCCCTCAGAGTTCCGGGCTGCTGTCTCCTGACCACCCGCAGAGGGAGGGTAGAGCTTTCAAGCTACAGGTGGCCTCAGTGAATGCCTCCCTCCCTTCCCTCCCCCTTCTCCCTTACAATCCTGAGGGCTGGCACCTTGCATGTGGTTCCTCTAAGCTAGAGCTGAGGCTCTAGGGGCTGGGACTGGTTAGCATGCCAGCCCCAGCCCGGGGCTGGTAGACAGCCTCTGTCCCTCCTGGAGTGTGTGTGTGTCACAATTGAAATTGCTGTAGCCCAAGTGGCCTGGACCTTGAGTTCCTCCCGACCCCAGCCTCCCAGCACTTGGTTGGAACCAAGGTCTCAACTGCCCTGACCTTGCTTGGCTTTCTCCACTGGGTAGTACTTTACCGCTTCAGCCTTGCCTCCAGCCTGGCTTTGTGCCAGCTATTTTGCACATGGAGTCTTACGGGTTTTTCTAGCTGGGCAGACTTCCCCCCTCCATCCTCTGTCTCCTGAGTATGAGCAATTGGTGTCTTGCTGCCACGCCTGGTCAACTACCTTCACCTCGCACCCATGGGCCCAGCCCTGCACTCCATGTGTGTGAGGTGGCTTGGTTGTGATGGGAGTAGAGGGCGCGCGTGCCGGGGTGGCTGAGCACACATGGGGAGTTGTGTCTGGTGGGAAGGAGGTTCTTGGGGCTTGAACTCCAGGCCTGGGCGCTGTCCCTCAGCTCTTCAGCTCAAGGCTAGCACTCTACCACTTGAGCCACAGTGTCACTTCTGGCTTTCTGGTGGTTTATTGGAGCTGAATCTCATGGACTCTCCTGTTCAGGTTGGCTTTGAACCGCAATCTTCAGGTCTCAGCTTCCTGAGTAGTTAGGATTACAGGCGTGAGCCACCAGTGCCCTGCTTCCTACATTTTTTTGTTTGGCCAGTCCTGGAGCTTGAACTCACATCTTGGGCACTGTCCCTGAGCTTCTTTTGCTGAAGGCTAGTACTGTTACTTGAGCCACAGGGCCACTTCCGGCTTTTTCTGTGTATGATTTTGAGGAATCGAACCCAGGGCTTCATGTCTACCACTGAGCCAGCCCTTTCCTACATCTTTTATGTCTCGGGTGACAAATCAAAGCACTTATTAAATCCAGGGGCTGGTGGCTCATGCTTGTAATCCTAGCTACTCAGGAGGCTGAGATCTGAGGATCAGGGTTCAAAGCCAGCCCAGGCTGGAAAGTCCATGAGACTCTTATCTCCAATAAAAAAAAAAAAAAAACACCAGAAAACTGGAAGTGGTGCTGTGGGCTCAAGTGACTGAGCACCAGCCTTGAGCCAAAGGAGCTGAGTTCAGGCCTGGAGGCTAGCCAAAAAAAGAAAAAAATACCCCCACAGGGAAGCAGGATGGTAAAGGTGATTATAATAAAGATCAAAGGCAGGTATAGTTTAATGTATTTTAATAGCAAACTTACAGGAACAGCACAGAAGACAGACAACATTAAAAACATGAACTTGCATGTAGGACAACTCAGTTAGAAAAGTGGAGTGAACGAATGGAATCTACCGTATGACAAAAATGCTACAAACACCATTTAGTTGCCATCAATAAGAAATTTACTTATTTTTTAAAAAATCCAAATGCTGGCATTGTCCAGAAAAATTTAACAGATTTATAGTTGTTATAAAGTTGAACTGCTGAAACATTTTGACTTGCATTAATGCTTTATATCCCCACAGTTATATTAAAAATTCACACACAAATGAAAATGGAAAAACTGCCAATACCTGATTTCTGTCCCCTATTTTTCCACTGGCAATCATATACTTAGGTACCTTTTGACCCCATGGGAAAAAAAATCTAACATTCAAACTACTGATAACAAGAAAAGGGGGGGGGGATTTTGAGAATGAAATGCCTCCCATTTTAGTAGATTCTTAAGCACGTTCTCCACGTATGCGGCGTGCTAGCTGGATATCTTTTGGCATAATTGTCACACGTTTGGCATGGATAGCACACAGATTGGTATCTTCAAAAAGGCCAACG